CCTACTTAGAACAAGCTTAGCAAAAGCATCAGGGACCGCGGTTCAATCCCCCAGCACCACATGCCAGCCAGCCGCGCCCCCTGGTGGGCTGAGCTGGCCTCTCTCTCTCTCTCTCTCACTCTCTCTCTCTCTCTCTCAAATAAATAAATAAATAAATAAAAATTTAAGAAGAAACAGGAGTTGGGATAAGGGAAAGTGCTCAGGTTTGGGACAGGAAGGAGATGGCCACAAGTCACCTTTGTTGATCTTGCCCACAATAGAGGCCTCCAGCCATCGTGTGTTGTCTTGGCGAGAGTACAGTCCAAAGAGGACACCACCCTGCTTGGGAGGCAGGCGAAAGGTGGACAAGAGGTAGATGTCCCCAGCAGTGAGTAGGGCTGTCCGGATCTTCTCTACCACAGCTACCATCTGCCGGGACTCACCCAGAGTCAGCAGGTCAATTACTGGCCAGACAAGAGGACAGCGTCAAATGCTAAGGCCTGGACTCTTCCCCTGGGCCTTCAGGGTTGGGGCTCCCCTACATCACCCCACCACCAGGCAACATAAGTCACCTTCTCAGAAATCAGCCTTTTTTGCTATCCAACAATGGAGGCAGTGGACCTTCGCTTCCCTCATTATGGCCTATCACACATCCCTCTGTGAACCTGCAGGACTGAGGCTTAGAAATCCAAAAGCCACAAACTTGAGATGCCCCCACCAGGTGGCGCAAGAGAGGCAATGTGGTGATCAGGCAGGAGTGGCACAAGGTGCCCCTAGCACAGAAACAAGAGGCAGCTTCTTTCTCCACTGCTGGGTTTGGCTCATTCCGCACCCTGGTGCCCCGCCTCCCATCCTGGGGGCTCAGCACATCCATTTGGATAAGAACAGCTGTCCACTGAGGGCTTTGACCCTCCCACCTTCAGAACTTTCCCCACCCCAAGGGAAAGTAGGACCTAACTCCTCTGCCTCCTGTGTCCTGGCCAATCTGTGGTTTCTTCTCCAGTCAGTGAAGAATCTTTGCTTGTGTCATCTGCTCCAGCTACCTCTCCCACACCCGAGGGCCCTTCCCACAGCCAGACCTCCGGGAGCGCCAGACCTCTCAGTCTCCACCCCCACCCTGTCTTTGTGATCGAGGAGCCTGGAGAGAAGGGGACCAAGCCCAGGGGCCCACACCATGCACCCACCTTCAGGCTGCTATTCCAGGCCCTGGGGGATGCTGCCAGCCCAGCCAGGCAGCCCTATCAGCTCCCAAACCCACTCCTCTGGCCTCATTCTCTGACCCTGGTCAGTACTACTCAGCCACCGCTCTCTGATCTACATAGGTCCCCATCATGCCATAATTTCACCTACTCCAGGAAGTGTAATTCTTTCCTTTAGCTCAGTTTCAGTATTCCTCCTCTCCTGGCCTACGTGTTCATGTTCCCCTTTACCGGACTGGGGGGGTAAATGGGGAAGAGGCTGAGATGGGGTCTAATAGGATGGACACAGGCTTACCCTGCAGGTCCTGACTGGCAGATGCAAAAGAGCAAAGGAAGAGAAGAGCCAAGGCCCCCCGAAGTTCCTGCGTCTCCATGCCGCTCAGCCGGCTCACTACCCTTGGCAGGCAGGCTGCTGGGAGGGGAAAAGGCTAGGCGGAGAGAGCAGGAACGGGGGGCGGAGGGACGGAGGACGGAGGGGGGAGCCGAGGGGGGGGCCAGCAGGAGGGAGGGGGGCCAGCAGGAGGGAGGGGGGGTGAAACAAAGAGCTGCCAATCACCCAGGAGGCATCACCCAGGAGCACTGGGAAAGAGTCCTGGAGGCCTCCGGCCCTCCGTTTCTCCCTAATGGTCCTTGCCCCCAGGTGCTTCCCCCTCCCCTATCGCCGGGCTACTAGGGGCCGCAACACACAGTACAACCAAATGCTACTGTTTGCTGGAAGCCACAGTGAGGAAAGGCAAGAACCCCTGGCGTGGGCCACACAGTGGGCCTTCTTTCACAGCTGGCAGCAAAGGATGCCAAGGGAGTGGCCGGAGCTTAGCTTGCTATAGTGCCTAGAGGATGCCCACACGGCATGAAGCTTGCTGCTCTGACATGAAGTAAGCGCTCTTTATTAGTGCGGGGGTTCCTTGACTTGCGCTCGTTTCTCCATTTTCCCTCATTCATAGGAAAACTTGGAATCTGAAAGCGTCGGATTAGAACTGGACGGAGAGCCGAAAACATTGGTCAGTGAGGTCGAAGCGAAGAAATCAAGAGGAAAGGGATTACAGAGATAAGAGTACAAAACCAGGAGACAGGCCAGGAGCCGAGGACCAGACTGGGGCAGTACGGTGGGTACCGGTGGACCGGCAGTGACCCGGACAAAGCCGAGGGGCGCCAGAGTTCCCGTTACTAAGGCAACAGTCGCTAGCCCACCTCCCCTCCCCCACCCAGGCCCCAGCCGGGCCTCCGCTCTAGCCGCTGCCGCCGCCGCCACCGCCCCTGTTTTGTTTCCATAGCGACAGGCGGCGCGGGGCCGGCTCCAAACATAACGCGCAGTGGAAAACATGCGGCTCGGGGGACCCCCCCGCAGCCCCCTCGCGGGGCCGAGTCCCGAGTGGCCGCGGAGCAGTCCAGGCCACGTGCGGTGCGGCAGAAGCCCGCAGAACAAGGACAGGCGCCCAAGATCCCCGTCTCCTGTGCGGGCATCGCCTTCAAGGGTTCGAGGCTCCGCTCGGCCGAGGCGCCGCGACTCTCCGAGGCGCCCTTGGCCTGCAGCCCGGACGCCCTGCGGGAGCCGCCTCTGGAAGAGCCGGAGGCCGCCCTCCCCCGAGGCCCGCAGCCCCGCCTCCCGCCACCCCGGCGTCCCGCAGCTCCAGAAAAACCGAGCCTTCCCGGGGACCTCCCCCTGCCCCCAGTCCCAGGTCTCCAGAGGGGCGGAGACTGAGGGCGGAACCGTGCGGGAGCCGGCAGAGGCGCACGGGGAGGTGCTTCCGGGGCAGAGGGCGTGCAAGATGGCGGCGCCCATGGAGCTGTTCTGCTGGTCGGGGGGCTGGGGGCTGCCGTCAGTGGACCTGGACAGCCTGGCCGTGCTGGTGAGGGGTGGCGCCGGCGTCCGCTGCTGCGCCCTAGAAGGACTGGGAGGGGGTGCAAACTAACCGAGCGTCAGAACTTCGCCGGGCCACACTGGGGGAAACTGAGGCAATCAAAGACCCGGATTAGCTGATAAGGGCTCAGTGCTCTATGCCGTTGTTTCCTACAGGCTGTCTAGCAATGGAAATAGGCTTAACCAGGGGTTTAGGAAATGGCTTCTATCCTTGTTTATCTATATACTGCTTGTGTGACCTTGGGGCAATCCTTCTGGACGATTCGGGAATCGTGGGGTTGGCATTCCTGTCGTCTCAGCACCCCCTTTCTCCCTTCTAACCAGACACTATTTACTGAACCTGATTGTTGGACCAGACGGTCCACAGTCAGACTAGGGAAAGAGTTTGGGAGTGAAATTTGATCCATATCATCCCTACCTTCACTCTTCGATTTTAATAGGTTCACCTAAGTACCATACAATGCCATGCAAAAAATGAGGAAGATTTACTGGCTCCCTTAAAGTTGTTTAGGGAAAAGCAGACGTGTAACCACTGAATAAAGTGTTCAAGTATAAGGTACATAAGTAATGAGTAGGAACATGATCGATGCTACCAAAAGGGTATTGTATATGAAGAGCTTTTAAAGATGTTCAAGATGTTCACCAGACAGATGACAGGAGAGAAGATAAAAGGATATTCCTATTTGTAATCACGGACATGTATATAATCTTTCTGAGCTCAGTTTTGCCCATTTCTAAAACAGAAATGGTAATGTGTTTTATTTTGTATAAAGATGCTAAGCAAAGGCATGACACAAAATATTCAGTAAATATTTCTCTTGGTTCCTTGGGCTCCCTGTCTTCTGCTTCCTTCCCTGCAGACCTATGCCAGATTTACTGGTGCACCACTCAAGGTACACAAGATCACCAACCCCTGGCGAAGCCCTTCAGGTATCCAGTGGCCCTGGGGGGGTAAGGAAGGGAATGTGCAGGGGGAGTAGCAGGAAGCAGGAGTGTGGTACAAATGTTTATGAATAGCAGTCCCAGCCCTGAAAGATCTCTGCAAGTTCCAGGCCAACCTGGTCTACAATGAATAAATGAATGAATGAATGAATGAATGAATGAGACCGAACAGGCAGCTAAAGATCTGGTGGCAATACTTTCTCAATGTCAGGAACTCTGCCTGCTCTTCGGACCAGCCATGGAGAAATCATCTCAGTACCACACAAGATCATCACCCACCTTCGAAAAGAGGTAGGTGTGGGGCTGGTGAGATGGCTCAGTGGTCTAAAGCACCTACTTAGAGCAAGCTTAGCAAAGCACAGGGACCACAGTTCAATCCCCCAGCACCACATGCCAGCCAGCCCCGCCCCCTGGTGGGCTGAGCTGGCCACACACACACACACACACACACACACACAAATAAATAAATAAAATTTAAAAAAAATATTATTAAAAAAAAAAAGAAAAGAGGTAGGTGTCTTGGATGGGAGCCACTGGTGAGACAGATTCAGTCAGTTCTGTGCAACATACTCATTGAGCACCAGATATCACATGCCAAGCTTGGCATAAGTGATGCAGAGCATGAAGGAACACACGTTCTGGTATGGAAGACACATATGCTGTCATTGTGATGCAGTGACGAAGCTGGCTATAGGTTAAATTCAGGACGATGAGGACATCTGGAGACAGTGCCTTCTGTATGCTGGGTAGAGAGGGGACAGGATGAGCTGGTGGCACATGGAAGAGAAAGTAGGGAATTGTATTTGGCTTTAATGAAGCCCTTGAAGGTAGTACTAGAAAGGCACTTCTGTGACCAGCCTGAATTGCACAGGAGACCTTATCTCAAAAAAAGAAAAAGAGACAAAGGGGCTTTCCCTTTGGACCCAGGGCCTCACATGTGTTAGGCAAGCACTGTACCACTGAATTACATCAACAACCCTTTTATTTAATTTTATTTTGAGGTAGGGACACATTAAGATGCCATTCTAGCCTTCCAACTCACAATCCTCCTGCCTCTGCCTCCTGAGTATTTGAGATTACAAGTGTGTACCATCACAGCTTTAGAAAGGAATTCAGGAGGGCCAGGGAGATGGCTCAGTAGAATAACGCAAGGGCCTGAGTTCAATCTCTGGTTTTTAGGGACTAAATGGGGCTAGATATGAAAGTTAGGAGGGACAAGGCTTAGAACTAGGTTAGAGAATTTGACAAAGCATTACAAGAGGGGTTGGAAGGGGCCAGGAAGATGGCTCAGTAGAATAAGTGCTTACACAAGGGCCTGAGTTCAATCCCCGGTTCCGCAAAAAAAAAAAAAAGTTTGAGGCTTACACTGTGCTGTTTACTCTGTCATTGATTGTGTGTGATCTTGGGCAAGTCACTTAACCTCCCAGAGCTATAAGATCCTTACGTGTGGTATTAGGTGGCTTCACCAGCATGCTTTCCGAGGTTTCTTCTACCACTCACAGACTGGTTCCAAAGAGGAACACATTGTCAGAAATGGGACCCTCTTGTTTATTTGTATTTTCCCAGAGTTTAAGGATCTAGAGAATGATTGGAGACCTGAGAGGCCTAGAGACACAGGATCCAGATAAAAGCCAAAATTCCTGGCACAGCCAGACCACAGTCCTGATTCCTTATGTATGAACAGAGCTTTTCCAGTTTCCAAAGTATTTTTCCTAGGATATTACTATTATTATTATCTTTGTGGCCTGCTCAGCCTGCCCTGGGAGCAGAGCTAGTGCAGTATGTGGTGCTGGGGATCAAACCGTGCTCCCTGCAGTTGCCTAAGCAGGCACTTTATTTTATTTTTTTTTTTGGTGGAACCAGGGATTGAGCCCAGACCCTTACGCTTGCCAGGGAAGCACTTATTCTATTGAGCCATCTTCCCGGTCCCTAAGCAGGTGCTTTACACCTCTGGACTATCTCGCCAGCCCCTCTCCTAAATTATTTATAACAGAGCCCCTTTGAGACAAAGATTATGACGCCCATTCCACTGGGGAGAAAATGATGTTCAGAGCAATTTAAGAGACACAGCTCACTTGGGATGTGGAGGGGGTTGGTGAGGAGCTGAGAAGACCGGGTGGTATGGGTAGAATATATGTGTGGTGGTGGCACCTAGGCATGGAATGAAGTAGATGAAACAGCCAGGGCCATGAGGGAACAAACCAGGGGGTCCTGGACATGAATTCATGGGTCCAGAGAGTGTGAGGATGGTTGTCCCCTAGTTTTTGAGACATTGGCTATAGCCCACCCAATGCTCAGTAGCTCATCTGAGCTCTGTTCTGGCTTTGTGGAGTCTGGGTCAGGGAAGTTACTGTTAGAAAGTTGCTGTCAGCAGGCACGTGGCCAGCTTTCCGTGGAAACTCTGGGACTTACTCCTAGCCTGTGGCAAGGCTTCCTTTCCCCTGAGGGCACAGGACCTTGACAGCCAGCAGGCTGCAAGGTCTAGGCTTTCTGCCAACAGCAACAGGCTACTGGCTTGGCCCAGGGAAGGAGCCTCAGGCGGAAAAGCTTGCTGTACCTCCATTGCAATCAGAGGCCAGTAAGAGGGTACCATTCCTTCCCCACCTTGAAAGTGCCCCTGCACGCCCCTTGTCCACCTCATGGATATTTCTCCCATAGAAGTACAACGCTGACTATGATCTGTCAGCCCGTCAAGGGGCAGACACCCTGGCATTCATGTCTTTGCTGGAAGAAAAACTGCTCCCAGTGCTGGTAAGTGGGCCTGACTTCCCAGCATTCCTGGCCTGTGGGGGTGAGGGTCGGAGCATTGAGTCAGAAGCCTACCCCGAGCCAGGCAGGTGCACTGCCTGAGACCTCTTATTCCTTCCCACCTACCCAATCCAGATCCATACTTTTTGGATAGATACCAAGAACTATGTGGAAGTGACCCGGAAGTGGTATGCAGAGGCTATGCCCTTTCCCCTCAACTTCTTCCTGCCTGGCCGCATGCAAAGGCAGCACATGGAGCGGCTGCAGATGCTGTGTGGGGAGCATAGACCTGAGAATGAAGAAGAACTGGAAAAAGAGGTAGCTCTGGGACGGGGTTATTGTATGAGATGTGCCCCATGGATGATGACCAGGAATAGCAATGCCAGGAGGGGAGGTGGCACTGTTCCCTATAGGGACAAACCTACCCATGTCGTCCCTACAGCTGTACCAAGAGGCTCGGGAGTGCCTGACCCTTCTCTCTCAGCGCTTGGGGTCTCAGAAGTTCTTTTTTGGAGATGCGTGAGTCACATTCTAGCGGGGGAATGGGTAGCTTGGAAGGAAGATACAGGTTCACATGCAGAGGCTGGAGTGGGTTTAGGCTCTGGACAAGAAGTCTTCGGGACAGACACTAGTTGTGACGGCAGTTGTGTGTGGGGCCAGAGCCACCTCAGTGGTACAGCAGGGTAGTATGGGACAGCAGCCAGGTACAGGAGAAGCCTGTTGGGCTGTGGGGAGCTCAATGCGCTCTTTATGTTCCCTGGGATAGAGCCCCATTCAGGGCCAACCTGGCGCCACCTGGGGAGGCTTCGTACAGGGTCCAGAACTATGCATCTTGTCCCCCTCTGGTAGCTTCCTGCTGTCTAGAGCCCACCTCCCAAGGTCGCCTTTTCCCCCCAGCTCCATTCTGAGCTGTCTGCTCAGGTGTCCTCCACCCTTCTTTCTCTCCAGCCCTGCTTCCCTGGATGCCTTTGTCTTTAGCTACTTAGCCCTGCTCCTGCAGGCGAAGCTGCCCAGTGGGAAGCTGCAGGCCCACCTGCGGGGTCTGCACAACCTCTGTGCTTACTGTGCCCACATCCTCAGCATCTATTTCCCCTGGGATGGAGGTAAGGAACCAGGAGGAGGAGAGCTCTGGGAGGAGTTGGCTGGGACCCAGGAACTGGCCACTCTTCTTTCCTTGGCCCACAGCTGAGGTGCCACCCCCACGGCAGACACCAGCAGGCCCAGAGACTGAGGAAGAGCCATACCCACGGCGGAACCAGATCCTGTCAGTGCTGGCAGGGCTGGCAGCCATGGTGGGCTATGCCTTGCTCAGTGGCATCGTCTCTATCCAGCGGACAGCACCCACCCGGGCCCCCGGCACCCGGGCCCTGGGCATGACTGAGGAGGATGAAGAGCAATGATTTGTCTCGGACCTCTCAGGACCTATTCTTTTACTGTCATGCATTCCAGAGGCCCCTTTGCCTCCCCACTGCTCATACAGCCAGAAGTGGGGTGCTACACCCCAGAATAAAACCACTCTGACTCAGGCCAAACATTCTCTTTTAAGGGACTGCCATTTTCCCACCTGTAACCCAGGAGCATTTGGGTGCCTGAATGTACGCAGTGGCCTTGGCTTCTGGGGCTGCTTCTGCCTTGATGCTGACGCAGTCCCCATTTTTGGGTCCAGCTTTCTTAATCTCTTCTTTCCTCCCCTCACCCCAATCTTGTGTTTGTACAGTGAGCTCATCCTGGGCTGTTTCCACATGGAACCAGCCCATAGCACATTTCCTACACGGGCATGAGGTCGGAGACACCTGGGGGGTTTCCTGATCTTTCCTTAGGAGCTTCTAGCCCCTGACACCTATTAAAGAGGAGAGTGGGTCACAACCACTGCCCCTGGGCTTGAGTCACTGTGAGCTCATGCTGGCCCTGCTGTAGCCTTTTAGCCACTTTGTTTACTCAGCATATGAGCTGAGTCTTGTCTCTAACACCCATGCTGGGCCTCGGTGCCTGCTTGAGCATCTGCTCCATCACTGGCGACGCCACAGGTAGGTGTGGATGGAGTAGCCAGGGGCGATGGTCTCCAGGAAGCCCATGTCAGGGTCCTTGATGGTGAGAGGCACGTCCCTAGAAGAGCTAGAGAGGAGAAGCAAAGCGAGCATGTGAGACTGCCAGGACCCACCCCCAGCCCCGTCCAGGTCTAGATCTGCCACTGCCCTCACCGGTTCAGCACGACCACAACTGCACAGCCATCGGGATTCAGCAGCGCCACGGCATCCAAGTTGTTCTCCTCACTGGCCACCAGCCCCACTCGCTGAGATCCCTCAGGAATGAACTTGCTGAATGGGAGAGGAATCATCAGGGACTGGCCAAGCCCCTCCAGCATTGAACACCACCCATCAGCTTGGCTGTGGTCACACCCCTGCCCCACCCATAAATCCTGCCAAAGCTCTGCCCTAATTCTGCCAGCCTCAGACCCTGCTGCTTTGCCCTGATCCTGCCTTCCCGCATCCCATCCCCATCAGGGATCCTGGGAGTGGCTGTGGCTCTGATGCTGCTGTGTCATGTTCTGCCCACACCTCAAGGAAGGGTTGGCATGCTTCTCCCAGGAGTCAAGCCCTAACAGGCTAACTGGGGGGTGATCTAAGCCTGAGGTAGGAGATGCTAGGCCTGGTGTGGAATGGGTACATGTACCCTGCACTCACCTGAAGTGGCCAAGGTGATAGAACATAGGTTGTTTATAAAAGGTGTCCTTGGCAATATCTACAATGATGGGGCTGTCAACAAAGTTTCGGACCCAGTTGGGTCCCCCCTCAGGGTTCAGGGCGAGGTTCCAGTCAGTCCAGCCAACCACATGGTAGAGGAGGTTCTGAAGTAAGAGTCAAGCAAAGGCCAAGGCTCAACATAGGGGTTCTCAGAGAAGGTAGTTGGGATCAGGTGAAGAATATGGGGCTAGAGGAGGCTCCTGTGAGCAGGTGTCCTATTAAAAGCAAAGGAGGAAGGATTGTGGAGATGGAGGTATTTTAAGCCAAGAAAATAGAGGCCAGTACAACTGTTTGGGCTCAAGCATGTGGAAAAGGCATAATATGAGGGAAAGGCAAGATAGAGAATTACAGTAGCCCAAAATGACCCTCAACAGGTGCAATGGCAGAGTTGGGAAGGACTCTGTCAGCTTTTTTGAGGTAAGAAAGGTTCCTGGTATCTTGTGGGAAGGGAGCGCTGGCTCACCGTGATGATGCTATTGCTGTACTGCATCCCTCGATCCCAGGAGCCCAGCCGCACACTCTGCTCCCAGAACTTGGAGCCCACACAGGCCTCTGAGGCGAAGAGCATGGTGTCAGGGAACAGGCGGTGTGTTGCTCCCAGAGTAGCTTTTGCTGGAGCCAGGAAGTCCAGGTACCAGTGCACAGCGATCCCATGGACATACTTCGCTGCTTCTTGGTCTGTCAGTACCTGCACAGGCAGCAGGAAAGAGGCCTAAAGCCAAAGGAGGCTAAAGCCTCCACAGGGCTCAGGAAAAGGAACTAAGCTCCAAGAAATGGCCAGCCCAGGTTGCTCTGGTAATCAAGTTGGGCAGGGTGGTGGGCTACACCTGTAATCCCAGCTACTCAGGAGGCTGAGACAAGTGGATCATGAATTCAAGACCAGCCTGGATGACATAGTAAGAGCCTGTCTCAAAAAAAACCCAAAACAATAATAATAAAATGTTTTGATGACACCCCTCCCACACTGCCTTCCTGCAGGCCACATGCTCACTTTGCTCAGCATTTCTCAAGCATTTTGATGAGCTCAGGCTCCCACTCAAGGGCCACTGCACTTGCCTTGAGTACTGCTCAACCCCTCCTTCAGCTTCTCCATTTTTTGCTGAAACGAAACCTTCCCTCTAGAACCTTCCCTAACTGCCTCTATTCAAACTATATGTCCATCTCCACTCCTGCCTTATTTGTTTACAGTAGAGTACTAATCAACATCTAATCATTCACTTTTTTTTTTTTTTTGTATTTTTAGGGAAGGGTCTACAGGGTGTTCAGGGTCTCACTACTAGATTGGACTTGTGTGATCCTCCTGTTTACAGCCTCCCAAGAGCTGGAATTACAGGTGCACACCACCATGCTGAGTCTCAATTGCCACTTCAGTGGGCCCTCAGGGCAGGGCTGGCATGGCAGGCCCAGGGATCGAACCCCTGGCCCCTACACCTGCTTGCAGGCACTTTAATCAGCTGAGCTATTTAGCCAGCCCTAATCATTCACATAATTTAACTTATCTGCGTCCTCAGAATTGGCAAAGGTTAAATAAAACTCTACTGTGTTTTGTTTGCTACAATATAACCAGTACCTAGGATAAGTCTGGCACTGATTAGTTGCTCTTAAATTTGCTAATTAAACTGATTATCAATAAATATAAGAAAAATAATTCAAGGGAAAAATAACTTGAGGATCAACTCGGACATGATGGTGTACATCTGTAATCCCAGACCTTGGGAAACTGGGACAAGAGGATCACCTTGGGTTCAAGCCCAGCCAAGACCTTATTTGGAAAAACTAAAAACAACAATAACTTGAGAGTCATTTATGAAGCAAGTAGAGAGTGATGAGATAGAACAGACACAAAACAAAGTTGGAACAGGAAGACACTTAAAGCTTGCAGAAAATCATCTGAATGTCAGATTTGGGTTTAGCTAGGGCACCCGTGGGGATCCCAGGCCTTACCACCTGTGCCCAGTGAGGCAGTAGCAATCGGTTGTCATCCAGCATGATCAGCTGAACATCACGATGAGTGCTGTTGGCGAGGGTTGGACCCAGGTCTCGGGCAATGAAATCTCGCTGATGTTCAGGAGTGAAACCCAGACACTGGAATGGGTACCCACTCATCAGCCCTGCAGAAGGTTCATTCTCAACTGTCACTGCCCAGAATTTTAACTTGTGCTCAGCATAGGCATCCAGGAACCTAGCAGGAGAAAGGACAGGAGTGGTCATAACCCCCCCCCCAAAAAAAATGGACCTTCACCCTCTGACATTAGAGCGGGGACACATGCCCAACCTGGAAGGCTCAGAAGGTAGGACAGGCAGATGTGGAAGTGGCACCAGCTTGAGGGACAGGACATGGACCTGATGTCTAAAGAGGCTGATCAACGTCCCATAGCCTTGCTGATCCCTTACTTGACAAAGTACTTGGCCCAGGTCTGGTGGTAGATGTCCCCTGGCTGCCCCTTGAGCGTCCCTTTCCCATTCACTGCCCCATTGGTCTTGAGCCAAGTAGGTGATGTCCAGGGACTGGCAAAGAGTGAGACAGGGCGCTGGGACATCTGCAGGGCTCGGTGAATCAAGGGTATCTAGAGACACAGGTAATGAGAGACACCCAGAGTTGGAACACAAACCAGCCCAACCAGTGCATCAGGTCCAGCCATCAGCCTGCACCCTACCACCCCTAGGACAAAGCATGAGCAGAACTCAGTTCTATATTCCTCAGTAGACTGCCTAACTGGACCCTCTTGATCCCTAGTCATAAATGCGTCAGAACCGGAGGCAGCCAGAATGCCCACCTTGAGCTTGGTATCTTCCTCTGTGAGGCTGAAATTGTGTAACTGGAAGTCCTGGGGGGTGTCATCATAGGTATAGGTGCGGATGGAGAAGTCACAGCTGGCCATGGGTACCCGGATGATGTTATATTCAATCCCTGCAGAGGATGACCAAGATATGAGAGTCTGAATCAACAGAATATGGTTTATCCCTTGCCAGTCTTCAGTAGCACCTCAAGACCAAAGAGCATGTGGGTGCTAGGTTGAGGACATAGAGGCCAGGACCTGGTTAAAGCACAGGCCCCCTGAGCCTGACAGTCCCACACATTTAGCAGAACTAACAGGGCAATCTTACTCCAGTGGCATTAAAGAATCAAACATCAGGGAAAGGTGAAAAAGGTACAAATAAAGGTCAAGAAAAGTGTTGACTGCATTGCGTCCTCTGGTTCCACTCCTCCTCACCTTCCTTAGAGAAGTATGATTTAAGCAGCAAATTCTGGGCAGGTGGTGACAGGGCAAGGATATTGAGAGCAGCGGCATCTGTCATGGCTCCTCCAAATCCTTTCACTTTCTGGAACTTCTCTTCTGGCTGCAGGGTCAACAAAAGCCCTGAGGACACCAGCAGGGAAGAAAGGGTATCAGTGCCCAGCAAAGAAACTCCACATCGGTTACTGGCATCAGGGACCTAACTGTAGGAGGGCTGAGCCGGATGGGGGGGTGGTCACCTGTGCCAGAGCGATTGGCCTGGAATTCACCCACACTCTGCTCCATCCGCCGCCCGCTGCGTGTACTCTCATAGCGGCTGAACTTCCCCAAGGCTGGGAAGGTCACGGGGTCAAGAGAGTCGCAGTATGTAGCATTGCAGACACAGACCACTGAGCTGTAGCCAAAGCTTTTAGGGATGCAGGGGTAGGCACCTGGAAGGAAAGGACACAGGCAGAGGCAAGAGCAAGGACAGGTAAGGACAGCAGTCATGCTAATTAGGGGACAGAACACGGGTTTCAAATGCCCCCTCCCTCGACCCCCATCCCAATGCTGTTCTTAATCACTCCCCAGGGTTCAGCCAGTGCCTATGAGAAAGTTCACCATGAATACAGTGCAAGGCAACCAAGGGAGCACAGGGCTCGAAGGAACCTCGGTGCTCTTGGCACTCTTACCTGATGCCCATGCCACCGCCTGAAGCAGGAGCAATCCCATGAAGCTAGCAGCCATGATGCCTACCCTGCCCAGGCATTTGGGACATTCCTGAGAACAGAATGAGGAGTGGTTCAAAGGCAAGTCCTCTCTAGCCCTCAGTCAGCTATCCTTCTGGCAAGGGGTGGGTGCCTGTGGGTGTGCACAGCCTAGCCTTCCAACTTGATCAGGAATGGGACACTGCCCACCAAGTTCACGATGCAGCCCTCCCTGCAACCCCTCTGCCGACGGAGACAGCATTCTGTCCACCCCAAACAATGACTCACCTTACCCCTCTTCCCACCCATTTCAATCTCAACGCCTCCCTCTCTTCATCTGCTGAAAAAGCCACAGTGGTCCTCTTTCCCAGTCTGCCACTTGCCAGGCACAGTGGTGTAGTCCTGGCTACTTAGGAGGCTAAGGGAAGAGGACTGCAAGGTGGAGGCCAGCCTGGGGAACTTGGTGAGATCCTACCTCAAAATAAAATAAAAAGAGCTGGATGTAGTTCAGTATATGCCAGATTCAATCACCATTACCAGGGGAAAAAATTGAAAAGGAGAGAGCGACAGGGACAGAGAGACAGACACGGAGAGACAGACAAGGAGACAGAGACAGAGAAGTCACAGCGACTGGGATTCCCGGTTCACTTACTCCTATGGAAGGACTTGAAAGCTCCATCGCATCTGGTCCCTGGATGAAAAGCTTGCAAGAGTTCTAGAGTCTCAGAAAGATGAGCGGATCGACGAAATAAAAACAAGTGCGCACATATATACTGTAGCCGTAGGTACCTACCTAGTTATCACAGCAGATCAATTCCGGTCCTGCGAAAAGGATGGGTCATGTGGTGACAATGGGAGGGTCACGTGATACAGGAAGTGAGGCAATCGCAGCCATATTTGTAATGGGCAATTGGCCTCTTTTTTTTTTTTTTTTCCCCCCCCTTAAATCAGGATTTCACTTTGTAGTTAAACGGGCCTTGAGCTCAGTTTGTAGCCAAGGCTGGCGTCCAATTCGTGGCTGTTCTCCAGCTTTAGCCTCCCAAATGCTGAGATTACAGGTGTGCACCACACCGGCTTTTCTTTTTTTTTTTTTAATACAGGGTCTCAATAAATAAATAAATAAATAAATAATAAATACAGGGTCTCACTTTCCTGTTCAGGCTGTCCTTGAACTCACTATGTAGCGCAGGCTGACTTTAACTCAGTGATCTTCCTGCCTCAGTCTCCAACTGGGATTATAGGCATGTGTCACCACCACACCTCTTTCAGCAATGTGACTCTGGAAGAAAGGTATGGATGACAATAAAGTATTTGCATACCACCTACAAAGCACTGGGTTCAATCCCCAGAACCACAAGAAAAAAAAAAAAAAAAAAAATGTAGGGGCTGGTGAGATGGCTCAGTGGTCTAAAGCACCTACTTAGAACAAGCTTAGCAAAGCACAGGGACCGCA